GCCACGCCGCTGGGGATAGGGATCGGATAAACGATGCTCTGAGGGGAACGAAGAGGAGGACGGGGGGGGGGGAGGAAGAAGCAGGAGGACGGGAGGTGATCGTTGTTTATTCATGGTTTTGCCGATCGGCGCGGGCCCGCACACCCCCTCTCCTCCCCCCACACCCCCATGGAGCAGAGCATGGTTGTTTTGGGGCACCTGTTTACGCACTGCTGCAAACAGTCGCGTTAAGCAGAGGTCTGGAGCCAGCCCCCCCCCCTCCCCCTCCCCCATCCCGCCCAATGCCGCAACGCCGAACAAGAAAACGTTCGTTCACGAGGGGAGGAGGAGGGAAAAAAGAGGGGATGGGAGAGGAGAAGGAGGAGGAGGAGGAGGAGGAGGACGCTACCGACGCTCCAGACGCCACCTGTCAGCTGTGTGCTCCACTGCAAGAGGAGCCCCCTTTGAAAGACCTCTGCGCAGCTGGGCCTGCCAGTCTGGCGCGGGCCCCGCTCTGAAAAACGGACTTGCCTAGCATCTCCCTGACGCATGAGCAGGCTCGCGAACGAGTAGCATTCAGTCGGGCCTGTCCCTCTACAGGGGGGAATATTCAAAATGAGTCGAAAAATAGTCGGGGGACGATGGTTCGATCATTTGTAATACCAGTTTGGAGTATGTGTTGACGATCTTAATGTTTTCGCCCAAGATCCGCCTGAAGATGCGAATGCGCGCTGCGTTGAGGCTGGAGCCCGTGTTTGAAAATCACCTTATTCAACGTTTGAAACAGTTGCACAAGTTTGAGACGAACGTGCACCGTGGTAAGGCGAGGGAACCATTGTGAAACGGAATTGCCGTCCATCCTGGAAGTTACTGCAACATGTTAATACTAATGTGCGCGGCGCGGAGACAAGAGCACAGGTTTGAATAAACCCCCATCCAACCTTGCAATTGTTAGGAATGTGTTATTCGAATGTGCGCGGTGCTGACGTGAGAGCCACAATTCGGAAACGACCCCTCTCCATCCTTGACGCCGCTGCAAATGGTTAACACTAGTTCGCGTGACTAAGGCACCACAGTTTGAATACAAACCGCTCTCCATAGTTGAGGCTGGCGCGATGGTTTAGCAACAGTGTTCGTGGTGCTCAGGCGAAAGCCACAGTGTGAGCATCACACACCCTCCACTTCGGAAATTGCTCAACGATGTCAAGCTTCAGGATCACACATGCCGTATAGGGTGATGAAGTCTCAGGCGCAACGCCCAGCCTGCCCCAGCAACATGTTGGATGTGCGACAGGGATGACGGATTGAGGAAATGCGATGAGGGAGGCAAACATGAGGATGAGGAGGGGGAGGGAGGGAGGGAGGGAGAGGGTGCTCTCTCTTGCGGGCCGCCCGCGCCCCCGCGACGGAAGGCGCAGGCGGAGGAGCAAGAGAGGCAGGCACGGTTCGCCGAGGCGCAGGAGCGACTACGGGGAGGCGCCGTGCCGTCGCGCGAGGAGCAGGGGTAGGAGGCGGAGAAGGAGGGTTCGAAGAGGAGGAGGAGGAGGAGGAGGAGGAGGAGGAGGAGGAGGACAAGGAGGGGTCGAGGGCGGCGCAGGAGGAGGAGGAGGATGAGGCGGCGGAGGAGGAGGAGGAGGAGGAGACGAGGAGGGGGAGGAGCAGGAGGAGGAGGAGGAGGAGGATGGGGGGGCGAGAGGAGAGGTGAGCGGGAGGGGGAGGGGAGGGGGAGGGGGATGGGGAGGGGGGGGGGAGGGGGAGGGGGAGGGGGAGGGGGGAGGAGGGCAGGAGGAGGAGGAGGAGGAGGAGGAGGGGGAGGAGGAGGAGGAGGAGGAGGAGGAGGAGGAGGAGGAGGAGGAGGAGAGGAGGAGTAGGAGGAGCGAGGACGAGGAGGGACGAGGAGAAGAGGAGGACGAGGAGGAGGAGGAGCGAGGAGGAGGAGGAGGAGGAGGAGGAGGAGGAGGGGGAGGAGGGGGAGGAGGGGGAGGAGGGGCGAGGCGGAGGAAGGAGGATGGAGGAGGAGGAGGAGGAGGAGGAGGAGGAGGAGGAGGAGGAGGAGGAGGCGGAGGAGCTAGGAGGAGGAGCAGGATCAGGAGGAGGAGCAGGAGGAATGAGGAGGAGGAGGAGGAGCAGGAGGAGGAGCAGGAGGAGGAGCAGGAGGAGGAGCAGGAGGAGGAGGAGGAGGAGGAGGAGGAGGAGGAGGAAGGAGGAGGAGGAGGAGGAGGAGGAGGAGGAGAGAGGGGGAGGGGGAGGTGAGGGGGAGGTGGAGGGGAGGGGAGGGGGAGGAGGAGGAGAGGAGGAGGAGGAGGAGGAGGGAGGAAGAGGAGGAGGAGGGAAGGAGGAAGGAGGAGGAGGAGGAGGAGGAGGAGGAGGAGGAGGAGGTAGGAGGCAGGAGGGCTTTTTGATGTGTTGAAGGAGGAGAGGAGGAGGAGGAGGAGGAGGAGGAGGAGGGGGAGGTGGGGGGAGGGAGGGGGAGGGGGAGGGGAGGGGGGAGAGGGGAGGGGAGGAGGGGGAGGCGGACGGAGGAGGAGAAGGAGGAGGAGGAGGAGGAGGAGGAGGAGGAGGAGGAGGAGGACGAGGACGAGGACGAGGAGGAGGACGAGGAGGACGAGGAGGACGAGGAGGAGGAGGAGGACGAGGAGGACGAGGAGGACGAAGAGCAGAAGGAGGAGGAGGAGGAGGAGGAAGAGGAGGAGGGGGGGACGATCAGACCACGCGTCTTGACCGGGCAGTGGCACGCCGCACGTGGCGATGTCCATACGCTTTGCAGTTCAGGTGGCTTTGAGGCATGTCCCGAGCCCCAGGCTTAGGTTGTGAGGATCTGCGAGGACAAACAGGATGTGCAGTGTAATACAGGGGACGAGGCGGAGGAGTTGGGGGAGGGCCAGGAGGGACAGAAAGGACGAGGAGGATTCAGAGGGCAAGAAGGAGATGCAGGGAGGGGGGAGAGGAGGGAGAGGAGGAGAGGAGCAGAGGAGGAGTAGGGGAAGGCGTGACGAGGAGCAGGAGCATGAGCAGGAGGAGGAGGAGGAGGAGGGGGATCGTCGAGGCGTTCGAATGTGTTTGACATGTTTGTTTCGTTTGGGGTGCCTTTGGGGGGGGTCTGGGGATCGGGAACCTCCAGGGACCTCCATTGACTTCTACAGACTACCAGGTAGCTCCAGAGAGCTCCGGGGAGGGTAAAGAGGAGGATGTGAATAGCCATAGCATTGTTGATTGTTTGCATCCGACGTCGGCATTCATGACTCAGGGGAGAGGCTCTCGCTTCCACATCGCCCGCCGCACTGTCGAGTCAGTTGATCTCGCCTCACGCCCCGATGCCACATGTGTTTCCCTTGGCGTATCAATCATATAGTAAGTACATTCGTGGTTGCGACCGTCGCAGCACATGCGTTTTTGTTGTTGCCCAGTCCCTCTAGATGGAAATCATAGAGTGCATTGGCTACCTCGTCATTGGCGGAACAGTACTCCGGCTGATTCGAAAAGTATTCAAACTCTTGACCTTTCGTGTGTCTCCACAAGCCACTCGGTTGAGGCCCCATTCCTCCAGATACAGCGACGCAAAGCGAGTCTCACTGTGGAATAGAGGCAGGGGACGGGTAAACGCTTCCTTGAGGGGGTCGAATGGTCCCATAAACCACCCATGCCCAAATACTGAGTGGAGTGGACATCGCCCAGCGTTGGGACGAGGAGCGTGTCAACCACACGGGACGCCTTCGAGGAGTGTGCGAAGTTCTTCATCAGTGGCGCCAGGAAGACGGACGGGTACTTGAGCGGTCCCTTCTTGTTACAGAGACCCGACCCAGAGTGATATCTCAAATCACGTTTGGCCTACCTTGGCCGACGAGCGCTTTATATCAAAGGATGGTTTTGGCGCGAGGCAAGGGAGGTAGTCTAGGCCTCCTAGATGGGGTCCGAGTAGATGGGGTCGGAGGATCGCGTCGTATCGCCGATGCATCGGCGATGCGTCTCGATGTGGAGCCCGTGTTTCCCCACGCCGACGTCGCCGATGCATTGCCGACGTCGCTGATACATCGCCGGTGCATCGCCGATACATGGGGGGAGAGGAGGGGACGGGATGGAGATGGGGGAGTGAGGGCGGGAATCGGGGAACGAAGAATGACATGAACATGAACATAAAAGCTCTGAGGTCCGCGCGGATTTCTGGGATCCGCGCTGGGCCCCCCTCCCTGGCGCACAGAGCGCGCCGCCCGAGGCGCCGCCAAGGGGGGGCCCGGCGCCGATCCGTGGAACCCGCGCGGGCCTCCGAGTTCTGATGCTTGCACGCTTCGGCCCTCCAGGGATGGAGATGGGGCAGCGAGGGCGGGAAGCGGAGGAAGCGGCGCGGAGGAGTGGGGAGCGGCGGGGGGAGCGGAGGACGCGGAGGAGGGGGAAGCGGAGGAGGCGGTGAGATGGGGATGGAGGTGGGAAGCGGAGGAGGAGTGGAGAAGCGGCGGGGTCAGCCCGAGCGGGGCCGCGCTCTCAGGGTCTGGCCCGACCAGATTCGGCAGCGCCACCTCCCTGGGGGACGAGGCGCCCCGGCGCCGCTCCGGGTGCGCAGCGATCGGCGGCACCGCAACGGGTACTCACTGATTGGCACTTCGGAGGAGGAGGAGGAGGAGGGGCAGGAAGCGGAGGAGGCGGAGGAGGAGGAGGAGGAGGAGGCAGAGGAGGGAGAGTAGGAGGAGGAGGAGGAGGAGGAGGAGGAGGAGGAGGAGGAGGAGGAGGAGGAGGAGGAGAACGAGGACGAGGAGGACGAAGAGGACGAAGAGGAGGAGGAGGAGGAGGAGGAGGAGGCAGAGCCTCTTTCTGGCATTGCAGCGTTGCCCACATCGGCGAGGGTTAGGTTCGCGGGGTCACCAGCCTAAGTGCCCGTCAGTAGAGTCCCCGTTAGAGGGGTCGGAGGTTGATAGACCTCCTACCCTGACACGTCCGTCAATTTGCGAATTGGCCGTTTCAGTTCCGAGAGGGCGCCGCGGCCGTTATGTTTGCGGGTCCAGGTCCGTCGGTTTCGTTCTTAGGCCGTTTTCGCTAAAGGGTGGTTTACTAAAGGGAGGTTTGTCCACCGCCGAAGGGGCGCTGAAGCAGTGACGCACGTGTGCATGATGTTCGTAGGTTTCCAAAGCCCTCTTGGGCCGTGCTGGGGCCCTCTTGGGGGCCTCTTGGGCCGTCCTGGGGCGGTCTTGGGAGCCTCCTGGGCCGTCTTGGGGCGTCGGAGGCTCGAAGAGTCGAGAATTCCCCAAAGCATTGAGACATCTGCGGGAAATCAAAGGTTTGGGCCTCTTCGGGGCCCTCTTGGGAAGGGTCTTGTTGGGACGTATCGAAGGCTGATTGGCCATCTTGGAGCCACCTGCAACGCCTTGGGCCAATCAAAGAACCCTCAGGATTACAGAGTCATCGAGGACAAAATCACCCCCTAGCCCTAATAATACGCTGAAGACGTGGCCTCACTGAGGTCCCCTTTTTCGCATTAGTGCTAATGAACATGGGCGGCTTGGTTCGATACATCTGCAGAAAAGACCCCTATCCCTAATGTTCCTGGCCCTCCTAAAGTAGGTCGCCTATTTGTCGTTTCAAAATGTTGTTCCCGCTGAAGAGCTGGCCTCATTTTTGAGCTTCCGCTCGTTCCGAATCATGCTCCCGCTGCAGCGTTGGCATCATTTCCGCGCTTCCGCTCGATCCGAGTCGTGCTCCCGCTGCAGCGCTGGCTTTCTTTCCAAATGAGGCTTAAAATCTAGAGAACGGCTGCCCGACAATGTAGAAAATGGGACCATCGGAAGTGATTACACATTCGGTGCCGATTCGTTGATTTGTTGACCCTCGGAAGTCCTTCCCCCCCACTTTGGGGCGTCGTCGTTTTCAGGAAGTATCAAGCAGCGGGCCTGTTTCTGCTTTGAGACGGCGATGCCGAAAGCAGAGCCAACGGGTACCCTCCATCAGCCCCACCTTGCGTGGATTCCAGACCGGCCCAGACCTCTCGAAGACGATCCACTTACCCTCCGAGGAACCTGGCGCCATGCCATGACATGCTGTGCGGTGTTGTGTTCTGCGCCGCTGTGCGATGCCATGGTTTGCGTTGCAATCATTTCTGGTGCAATGCCTCACTGTGCAATGCCACGCCATGCTATGGCATGCTACGGTCTGCCGTGCTCTTTACGCCATGCCATGCTCTACTACGCATCGCATACCCTCTCGCAATCATTGCCCTGCTCGACATCCGACTGCGCGAATAGAGAAGATATCAAGATATCTACGCCATGGTAAGGGATGGGAGGGAGGGGTGGGACGTCAGATACGACGCGAACGCACCTAGCTTGTCCTCCCCCTCTTCCTTCTCCTCTTCCTCCTCCTCCTCCTCCTCCTCCTCCTCTCCTCTCCTCCTCCTCCTCCTCCTCCTCCTCCTCCTCCTCCTCCTCCTCCTCCTCCTCCTCCTCCTCCTCCTCCTCCTCCCTCCTCCTCCGCCTCCGCCTCTCTCCTCCTCCGCCTCCTCCTCCTCCGCCTCCTCCTCCTCCTCCTCCTCCTCCTCCTCCCCCTCCTCCTCCTCCCCCTCCTCCTCCCCCTCCCCATCGTGGCTGAGGCTCGCCGTGGCTAGGAGCGCTCCTTCGTTCCTTGCTCAGCGTTCCTTATGGCAGTGCGCAGGGCTCGCTCCGATCTCTCCGATTCGATTCGATTCCATTCCTATGGATTATGATTCCGAGTCGATTCGATTCAGGATTCCGATTCGCATTCCGATTTCTCAATGGAGGCCTACTAGCTTGCAAGTTTCCGCCGGTTCGACTTTTCCCGGTTCGGTTGCCGATTTCTGCCGATCCGACGCATCTCGACCGCCGATCCGATGTATCGATTCAATTTTGGGCTCCCCTGGCACGATGACTGTAGCCGCCACGGCCAGCCCTGCCAGATCCAGCCCGAAACGCTGGTCGTGACGAGTGGCCGGGACGGGGCCATTTGCTTCTGCCGAGCGGTCGCGGGCCGTGATCGACGCAGGGCGATGCTATTGCTGGCAGAACAATCCGGGGCGGCCTAGAGGGGTGTAACTCGTACGGGGTTAGGACGAGGATACATCCGTTCAAAGCGTTCCAGAACGCTCTGAGAAGGCCGCGGCGCCCGATGAGCAGGAGGAGGAGGGTAAGGAAGGAGGAGCTGGAGGAGAAGAGGGGCACGAGAAGCAGGAAGGAGGAGGAGGCGGAGGAGGAGGAGGAGGAGGAGGGGCAGCATGAGAGGGGGGGGGCCAGGAGGAGGAGCAGGAGCAGAGCACGGAGGATGGAAAAGTATGGAGCAGGAGAGCGACCATGAAGGCATACGGGGCAGGCTGGGGGACCTCGGCCCCCTCGCCGACCGAGTGACGAGGGTGGCACGGAGAGCCGTCGGCCAACGGCGCAGTCGTCTGCGCCGGCATGGTATGCACTGGAGGCGATGCCACAGGCGCTCTCCGGGGCTTCACCCGCTGCTATCGTCGTGTGGGGGGGGGGTCCTCCTCCTCCTTCCTCCTCCTCCTCCTCCTCCTCCTTCCTCCTCCTCCTCATCCTCATCCTCATCCTCCTCATCCTCCTCCCTCCCTCCGCACCTCCTCCTCCTCCTCCTCCTCCTCCTCCTCCTCCTCCTCCTCCTCCTCCTCCTCCTCCTCCTCTCCTCCTTCCTCCTCCTCCTCCTCCTCCTCCTCCCTCATCCCTCCTGCCTCCTCCCTCCTCCCTCATCCCTCCTGCCTCCTCCCTCCTGCCTCCTCCGTCCTCCTCCTCCTATCGTCGTGTGGGAGTGGATATCACGGGCGTGGCCATACTATCTCCCTGGATCCCGTGGCCCCCTCTGCTGATGGTGTCAGCACGTCCCCTGCCCCCCCCCCCCCCCCTGGGTCGCGCACGTGCCTCGGGCGCCACGAGTTGCGAGCCACCTTCCTTCGACGCCCCAGCCACGCGCAGAGTGTGGTATGGGGAGCAGGGAGGAAGGAGGAGGGAGGAGGGAGGGAGGGAGGAAGGGAGGAAGGCTTCTTAGGATCACCCTTCTTCTCAGAGGGCGCGGGCCTGTCTATAGATGCAAGGGCCAGCGCCTCCTAAGAAGCAGCTTCCTTCCAAAAAGCCTTCCCCCCTCCCACTACCCCCCTCTGCGCGCCGCCAAGCGCCCCTTCTTGGCTGCTGCCAGGGCAGGGAAGCGCGCATCCACCTACATCAATCTGCGGACGATTTCTGTGCACCGGGCCGCGATGGCGTCTCCAGAGGTGTCGTCGATCTTCGACCCAGGAATGGTACGGTGCATAGTTCCCTTGGCCTTCAGAACCGAAACACTCTGCGCCGTTCTGAATTGGAGCGGGGCCTGAAGCGAGTCCAAACATGATGCGCTGCATGGGCGCCGCTCTCGTAACAAGCCTCCCTGAGACCACTGGGGGCCCCGATCTTGGTCGATGCGGCTTCGAGGCCTGGACAGGAGCCGCTGACCATCAAGCTATGGACCCAGTTCGAAGTTGTGGAGGCCTGCTGATGGTGGGTACGACGGGTGCATGAACTCCTGGCACGGCGACAGCGCGGGCGCAGACGTTCGATATGGAAGACCTTGGCAGCTTTTGGTCCAGTGATTCCCCACCAGCGGAGTCCGTTCAAGATCAACCACGGTTCGCTGCATTCGCTCGCGTTGCGACACACGCTTGCTGGTGGCCTGTCCGTTCTCATCCCATCAGCTTCCCCCCTCCCTTCTCCCAAATTGCGTTGTGACTCCCCGAGAGAAGTCTTCATGCGTGCAGTGCCAGAGTACACAGTAGAGACCCATGCCACGAAACACCCTGCTTGCCTCCAGGGTGCCCTGGGTTTCTTGGGTTTCGACTGTTTTGCTGTGGAGCACGTGACGCTCCCACACCAATAAGCAATGGACGTCCTGGGGTTCCAGGGTTGGGTTTCTTCTGGAAGGTTTCTTGTGGACTGGCCTCCACTGTACATGGCTCGCGCCGTCGTGGCAGGAGCCCGATCCTCTTCTCATGTGGGGCGCGCGGAGCGCGGGAACTCGGCGGCGGCGAGCAGAATGCTCGGGGCGTCGGAGGTCTTCGGGGCCCCCAATGTTGAGACAGTTTTAAGTCGGGCACGTCGCTCTACAGGAGGAATACGCATGTATATATATATATATATATACATATCTATATATATATATATCTATATATATATACAGATATATATATATATATATATCAAAAAGGATACAACAACAAAGAAAGAAACACTGCTGATGTGCTACTTACAGTTTCGCCCAAAAACCGCCTGTAGGGGGAGACATGCCCGACCTAAAGGTAGTTCAAGTCCGTGCCCCGAAGCTTTCTAAAGTTCTCGGTTTCCTGGGGTGGTTTCCATTACAGTCGGACCGAGGTATAAGATCGAGATCGGTTCGGGGAGGCTACCTCGATGTTCTTCGTGCTTGTTGGATGGTCCTGTGCATCCTGGGGAGGGCACTCTTGGATGCTCCGGTTGTTTTGGCCGACGGACGGTCTCATGTTCTTGAGGGATGCTCCTCTGGCCTGGGTCCGACTGTGGCGATGGCGTTCCGGGGGCGCCGGAGTCGTCCCGAGTCCCGAACCGTGGCCAGAGGCCCGAGTTGTGGCCCGCAGGCCAGGGAGCGGAAGGTCAGGGGCGACGTCAGGAGGGGCCAGGTCGACCCCCCACCGCCCCACTCCTCTCCGGTATAGGGGCCCGACAGCCCAACCCCGCCCGGGAGCGCGCGGAGGCGCCATCCGGGGCGTGTCGCCGATCCGTGGGCGATGTGCCGCCGATTCCAGCTCGACGCGCCCCCTCACGAGCCGGTCGCACCTCTCCACCGGTCCCCGTCTTTGGCTCGTGGCTGCAGGTCCGGCCCCGGCGTTTCAGTGCGGCAGGTGCGCGCGTCGTGTCGACCGGCGGCGACCCCGGCGCGTGCGTTTGAGGTTGAACGCCGCCCGTGGCCCAGAATCGGCCAGTCGTTGGACGATCCGGCGTTCACGGGCGGGCCGGTCGTTCAAGTTTGAACGATCCCCGCGGAGTGAGAAACCAACGCCGAGGTCGGCATGACACAAATTTGCCGTAAACGTGTGTGTATGTGTGTGTGTTTGGGGGCAGGGGGCGAAAAGCGCCTCCCTAGAACAGAAAGTTACATATTTTTCTGCCCTGCTGAGGGGGAGGGGGCTCTTCGGCAGCTTCCCTGGGGCGAGCTCATAGCTTCCGGAGCGCGAATCTCATCTAATTTGTAAATTGTTGGCCTCGGGAGCGCGAATTCTGACCAATCTTTCCCAACCATCCTGTGGTGCCTCGTTTTGAAGAGACAGCGCCCCGCGTTCCTCTCCTCTCCTCTCCTCTCCTCTCCTCTCCTCTCCTCCTCCTCTCCTCTCCTCTCCTCTCCTCTCCTCTCATCTCCTCCTCCTTCCTCCTCCTCCTCCTCCTCCTCCTCCTCCTCCTCCTCCTCCCTCCTCCTCTCCTTCCCTCATCACATCATCACCATCATCATCATCATCATCATCATCATCATCATCATCATCATCATCATCATCATCATCATCATCATCATCATCATCATCATCATCATCATCATCATCATCATCATCATCATCATCATCATCCCCTCCCTCTCCCTACACCATCGTCACCATCATCACTGTCACCCATCATCCATCAGCACCACCATCTGCAGCATCATCCTCATCCACATCCTCCTCATCATCGTCACCATCATCGTCCCCACCGCCCATGTCGTCACACCCCTCACACGTTTCGTGGCCCCACAGGGAGCCCCACCTAAGGCCACAGTGGCGGTGTTCGCGTGCGTCTCCCCCACCCAGGACAGCGCTTCGTGGCCACATAGGGAGCTCCACCGAAGGCCCCAGTGGGGGTGTTCGCATGCGTCTCCCCCACCCAGGACAGCGTTTCGTGGCCCCATAAGGAGCTCCACCGAAAGCCCCACTGGGGGTGTTCGCATGCGTCTCCCCCACCCAGGACAGCGCTTCGTGGCCCCATAGGGAGCCCCACCTAAGGCCGGAATCGGGGTGTTCGCATGCGTCCCCCCCACCCAGGACAGCGTTTCGTTGCCCCAGAGGGAGCTCCACCGAAGGCCCCACTGGGGGTTTCCACATGCGTCTCCCCCACCCAGGACAGCGCTTCGTGGCCCCATTGTGAGATTCACCGAAGGCCCCAGTAGGGGTGTTCGCATGCGTCTCCCCCACCCAGGACAGCGCTTCGCGGCCCCAGGGAGCTTCACCGAAGGCTTCAATCGGAGTGTTCGCATGCGTCTCCCCCACCCAGGACAGCGCTTCGTGGCCCCATAGTGAGCCCCACCGAAAGTCCCAGTGGGGGTGTTCGCATGCGTCTCCCCCACCCAGGACAGCGCTTCGTGGCCCCATAGGGAGCTCCACCGAAGGTCCCACTGAGGGTGTTCGCATGCGTCTCCCCCACCCAGGACAGCGTTTTGTGGCCCCATAGGGAGCTCCACCGAAGGCCCCAGTGGCTGCATTTGCATGCGTCTCCCCACCCAGGACAGCACTGCGTGGCCCCATAGGGAGCCCCACCGAATGCGTTGCTCACAAAGACGGTACTCACAACTGCATATGGTTGGGTCCTTCGCCAGGCTAATTTAGGTGATCGTAGCCTCGTGAGTGCGAATCTGGCGTAACTGTTGCGCGAACACTGTACAGTGTACCAAAGCCTCTGGCCTCCCGCTTGGCGTAATTCGCGAGGCGCTCTTGGCTTCCAGAGCGCGAATTCTGGCATCGGGAGCGATCCTGGCTTCGGAGCTTCCGGAGGGAGTCTGGCTTCGGGAGCGCGAACCTGGCGCAGTTGCCGACGGAGCTTTGTGCTCGGGCGCGCGCCTCTGTCGTCATGTGCCAGGGTTTGGGCCTCGGGGGCGCGAACCTCGTTCAGTCATGAGGGGCTCGGATTTCGCGAGCGCGCATCTGCCGTAATTGCTCAGGGCTCTGGCTTCGGGAGCGCAAGTCTGGTGAAATGTGCTAGGGATTCCTGCTTCGGGAGCGCGAGTCTGATGTTATTTTGCAAGGGGGGATTTGGCCTCGGGAGAGATCCTGGCGCAATTTGTACGAATCGGGCGTCGAGGTCGGTTCGGGGAGGGTACCTTAGTGCTCTTCGTGTGTGTTGGATGGTCTTGTGCATCCTGGGGAGGGTACCCTTGGATATGCTGTTTGTTTCGGCCGACGGACGGTATCATGTTCTTGAAGGAGGTTTTTCTGGCCTAGGTCCTGAGGAGCCCGAATCTGGAGTAATGTACGAAGGAATTGTGCCACGGAGGTACGAATCCCATGCATCTTTCCTTGTCCCAGACCCACCAGACATGCAGGCAACACGATGTCCATCCGGTTCGTTTTCGGACCCCCCCCTCGCGCGGACAGTCACAGCTGACAGCAGGCAGCCCAAAGTTGAACTACAGCAGTGGAGACCTGGAGCTGGTTCCAGGAAAGCCTCCGCCACGCAGCCTAATTTTGCCAGCACGGGGACCGGCGGACTTGGGAATCGCGCTATCGCTCGAGTTGGAGGGTGAAAGAGGGGGTCTGCAACAGGGGGTCTTCAATGGGGCTGAAGGGCCCATGTGTGCTCAATGTATCGCTCTCATGTAGTCGTTCGTGCCCGCGCGTTGCCCGCGCGGAAGTCTCGACGAGACTCCCGCGCGCTCCATGCAGGACTGGCGCTTCCGCGAGCCGCCCGCCCGACACACGGCCGTCCGGGCCCGCCCGCCCGGCCCGCCCGTTTTGTTTTGCCTGGTCGACCTGCCCGCCGTGCTCCAGTTCCTGGCCCCCCTGTGGCCAATCTCTCTCGTGCTCCGTCCTTCCCCCTCCCCTTTTTGTCCCTCCCTCCCTCCCTTGCCCTGTCTCAGGGGCTGCGCAGGCAGCACGTGGCAGGTGAGGAAGATGTACACCCAAGGGGGGCAGGATCGAAGACGAAAAGGGTGGGGGCCGGCGGTTCTTCTGGTGATCGTTGCCAGTCTCTCTCGTGCTCCATCCTTCCCCCTCCCCCTTGTCAAGCAGTGGCGAAGCGTCCTGGCTCGCCTGTAGCCCCACCAGACAATGCTCTAAGAGCCTTTCGTGGTTCCCACGAGACGTTCTCAGAACATTTCTGGCTGGGGCTGTCTTGTTTTAACACATCGGGTTTATGTTCTAAGAGCATTGTTTTTGTTATTAGAGCATGTTTGGGTTCTAAGAGCACTTCGTGGTATGACTATAGCAATGCCTGGACGGTCGGTCCCTGCTCAACTTTTTGTCCCTCCCTCCCTCCCTTGCCCTGCTTGAGGGGCTGCGCAAGCAGCACGTGGCAGGCAAGGAAGAGATCTACACCCAAGGGGGGCAGGATCGAAGACGAAGAGGGTGGGGGCCGGCGGCTCTTCTGGTGATCGTTTTGTTCACTGCTTTGCCGATCGGCGAGGGCCCTCGCACACCCCCACTCCCCCCACCCCTGGTGCAGATCTTGGCTGTTTTCGGCGCCTGCTGCTGGCAGGTGGCGTCTCCCCCAGAGGACGCACGGTTCCAAACGGCCGCTCTGAGCAGAGATCCGGAGCCAGCCCCCCCCCCCTTTCCGCTCCATGCCGAACCGCCGAACAAAAAACACGCTCACAAGGGTGGGGGCCGGCGGTTCTTTCGGGCCGGACGAAGGGGGGGATTGGGAAAGGGGGGTTACGAAATCTGCTGCGTGCAGCTGGTTTCGGCCCCACCAAGATACATGGGCGCCTCCAGGTGCCGGGAGGCGCTGGGAAGCTCAGCTGCGTGAGCTGATTCTCAACCCCCCCTTTGCTATCACCCCCTTTCGCCCGACCCGATTCTTCTGTCCCACGTCCGGCCGCACCCCCCCCCGCAGGAGTCCGGCGCCCTCGCGCCCTCCCTCGGGCACGGTGGCGACCCCCACGGCGAGGACCGGCCCGCCCGCGGCAGCGCGCCGCCCCGCGCCGCCGCGGCCGCCGCTCGCTGCCCCAGCGCCTGCGGGCAAGACTTGTGGCCACCTCTCGGAGCAGGAGGAGGAGGAGGGCGGAGGGACGGAGGGACGGAGGGACGGAGGGACGGAGAGAGGGACGGAGGGAGGAGGAGGGGGGAAGGGAGGTAGAGAGGGAGGGAGGAGGGAGGGAGGGAGGAGGAGGGAGGGAGGGAGGGAGGAGGAGGAGGGAGGAGGAGAGGAGCAGAAGCAGGAGCAGGAGCAGGAGCAGGAGCAGGAGCAGGAGCAGGAGCAGGAGCAGGAGCAGGAGCAGGAGCAGGAGCAAGGAGGAGGAGGAGGGGAGGAGGAGGAGGAGGAGGAGGAGGAGGAGGAGGAGAGGAGGAGGAGAGGAGGAGGGAGGAGGAGGGGGAGGAGGAGGAGGAGGAGGAGGAGGAGGAGGAGGAGGAGGAGGAGGAGGAGGAGGAGGAGGAGGAGGAGGAGGGGGAGGGAGGAGGAGGAAGAGGAGGAGGAGGAAGTGGAGAACGCTACAATCCGAGGCTTCAAGTTGGCGCAAGGTCAACAAGGAGGAGGAGGAGGAGGAGGAGGAGGAGGAGGAGGAGGAGGAGGAGGGAAAGGACGCCTCGACGTCGGCCTTCCAGCCACACACTGAGCAGCGAGCACGGGCGAGAGCACCGCTACCCTGGCCTCGTTTCGCCGTTTTGGGCCTCGGGGGAGGCACTCGTCGCCACCGCTGGATTTGCCGCGAAATCCTGGTCGGAACGCACCCTGGGAGATGTCCGGGGAGCAGCGTTGTCAGTACCTTCTGGTTTCCCTCATATCCCCTGCGTCTTGGACTGTCTGGGAAGGACGCCAGAAGGCCGAGGCGCAGTGGAGGTCGACAGCAGATCTGACCTCTGGGGGCAGGGTCTTCATCCATACCAGCTGCGCCTCGGGTGTCTGGGGATGGGAGCCCGAGACTCCAAGATGCAGTGGGCAGTCGTCCGCCTCCTGTCGAGGAGAGCTCCCTCACCCCGCTGCGTATTCACACTGTGGAGTGTGGACGCGGAGGCTCTGGGCCTCCCAGATGGGTTCCGAGCAGATGGGGTCGGAGGATCGGATCGCATCGCCGATGCATCGGCGTTGCAGCTCGATGCGGAACCCAATCGTCTCCGCGCTCGCGTCGCCGATGTGCCGCCGGCGTCGCCGATGCATCGGCGGTACATCGGCGATGCGGCGCGATTGTCCGACCCCAACTAGTCGGACCTAGACCAGGAGGCATCTACAATGTGGAAGCAGAGGCAAGACCCAATGCGCTTAAAGCAGGATCTAAGCAGTTGTTGCCCCCCATGTCAGGAAGGAAGAGTTGGCAAGGGAGAGAGAGCTCCGCTGGCGAGGGGAGAGGGAGTGGAGAGGCGGACTAGAAGAGAGGGGAGGGGGAGGAATGGCAAGGGGGCTGGGAGGGGAAGGGGAGGCTGGACGGCAGGGGGAAAGGGGAGAAACAGGGGGGAGGGCAGACCCGCTTCTTTGCCTGAGGGATGCGGGACGCGGAGTCCTCTTTCTCGCCCTTCGCTGGTGTGATGAAGCGCCCCTGCATCGCCGCCAGGAGGAGGAGTTCGACTTCGGCGACATAATGATCCACCAGGTCCCCACCATCGAAGCAGAAACAACGGCACAAACATGATGAAATGTCCAGATCTCCGCGCGGATTTCTTGGACCGCCGCCGGAGAGGGGGGCCCATCGCAGATCCAAGAAATCCGCGCGGAGCTCCCAAAGTATACAATATGAGCGGCGTCCGGCTCCCCAGGCCTGGGGGCAGCACACTTTTTCAAAACTCCCCCCCCCCCCGCAACCCACTTTCGTCCCCGGCGCCGGCGGGCCTTTTTGAACGCTCCAGGGCGTTCCCTGTGCCTCGAGGGCCCTCCTCGGCACCCGCGGAGGACGCCCAGAGGCCGCCAAGACGGCCCATGAGCGCATCAATCCGCCCAAGATGACCCCATGGTGGCCCAAGAGGCCCCCAAGAGGCCCCATGGCCGCTCCCAGAGGACCTCCAAGAGGGCCCCAAGGAACCAAAATCATTGATTTTCATGTGTTTTTCAACGTTATTCGCGTTCTCGCGATTTCGGGCTTCCGACACACCAAGACTGCCAAAGAAGCCTCCAACATCGCCCCATGAGGCCCCCAAGAGGCCCCCAAGACAGCCCAAGAGGGACCCCAGACGGCCCAAGAGGCGCCTAAGATGGCCCAAGAGGGCCTCAGGACGGCCTCAAGAGGAGCCGAAGAGGGGGAACGCGAACCGACAAGTCGAGCCTTCCGCACCAAGAGGGAGGCTCCAAGAGGCCCCCAAGAGGCCCCCAAGACGCCCCAAGAGAGCCAAAAGAGGCCCCGAAGAAGCCTAAAAGTGTCCCAAACGGCCCCCCGGAGGCTTTAAAACGGCTTCTGACACATAACCCATGCACGGTGGCAGGAGGGGACGACGGGCTCTCGGAGTGGCAGACGAAGAGAACACTCGACAGGCTTCTTTCGGTATGTGACTGATTTCGGCGCTTTTCAGCACCACCCGACGATGACTTCGACGATAAGGACGGCTATAAGGACAACGACGACGACGACGACGACGACGAGGACGACGACGACGACGACGACGACGACGACGACGACGACGACGACGACGACGACGACGACGGCGACGACGACGACGACGACGACGACGACGACAGCGACCACGGCGCCGCGTCGACGACGGCGAGCCCCCCCCCAGCAAACACAAGGGGACCCCAAGAGGCCCCTCAAGAGGGCCCCAGCACGCAAAACCCGTCCCACTCCTGTGAGGCACTTACCAGCTTGGCATGTGCACTTCTTTCGCTGGCACTCTTCTTCTTAGCTTGGCATGTGCACTTCTTTCGCTGGCACTCTTCTTCGGGACACTTGCGCCAGGATTCCTTCTCGCAATGTGGGACTGTCTGGCTTCCGCCGCCATGCCCCTTCTTCGTGGCGGAAGAGGAGGATGAGGAGGAGGGGGAGGAGGGGCTGACAAAGGGGAGGGAGAGGATGTGAATTAGGAAGGGGAGGAGGAATCCCATACCGGGACGAGGATGCTGAGCATTACCTACCCATCAGGAATTGGGGGCAGGACGGACACAAAGGACGAAGGGCGGAAGGAGGAGAGCGATTTCAAGGAAGAGGAGCGGAGGAGGGAGGAAGTGGCCGCGGCCGGGCGGGAGGGGACAGGGGGGAAGGCCCATGAATATTGCATTGCACCCCAAAGCTTGCCTTATGTGTCCACTGGGTAAAGATAGACTCAGTCCTTCCTTCTGGGAGCGCGTCGTCACCTCGGGTTCGCGCCTGCAGAACGGTAAGGGGGGCACAAGACGAGGAGGCTGAATGAGTCGTGACGTTGCATGTGTGCATACGCATTGGCAGGCAACTGTGAGATTGTCAAGGGCTGGAGCTTTCTAGAACCTAAGCGCGCGCGAAGCGCGTTTATGCCGCTTCTTGTTCGGCTACACCAGCTCGGCGGGGAATGATACCTCGTGAGAGTTGCGCGACGCGCTCTCCTTCGCGCAGATCACGCCACGCAGCCAGACGTTACCGTGGATCGACGGTTGCGGATCACCGGGCGGTCGTGCTCCAATGTCCAAAACATTTGGTTGTTATTATGCGCAGCATTTCTCTA